CCTCGTGTTCCCCAAACAATCCCGCGTGCTTCTAACAGAGAATATAAACAAGGATAATATCTTCTAATGCTTGATTAATGCACGCTAAAACCTGGTAAAGTCGATATTATATTATATCGATATTTTCACGTGTAATATCAATAAATTCAAGCATCAAATCCATTTATTATTGACGTTCATCTCTMTTACTACTGTACTAAACCTATCTATTGTATTTTATTATAGATCGAACGAGTTGTAAACACTAAATTATGGGATAAATATGTATACCGTCGGCGAGAGGTWAGTTAAAGACTGGGTRCGAGGAGKGTGTTAAAGACYGAGYRTGATGTTGTAATTATGTCCTTTTATCATACATAGATCGCCGATTCAAATCATAATCACTCCAACGAAAGAATGTTATTTCACGGTAAGAGTGACGAAATAGTAATAGAGAACTGACAATATATTAAGCCTGTCKATAGGACGTCAGTAATAATCCTAATCATAAGAAGGTTCACATGTAAACCCAGCAACTTTTCAAACGAAGCCGAGTTTTCTCGAGTTTGAGATGATATTTACGACTATAATTTTACACGTATAGCCATAGTCGTAATCATAGAAACATTTGAACTTAATTGTGGCTATGACTATGACGGAGCAGTTGCCACATGAAGCTGGTTATGATTATGGCTGTGATTAGGATTTTATGTTAATCAGGCTTAAGCCAAAAACGTCAAGATAACATCTTCGACATAAAGCCAAATATACCTTATGTGACTAAAATAATGCTTATGATTGTGTTTGGTTAAGGTTCTCCATTCATTAACGCCATTGTACAAAAAGGTTTCGACGAGAGACATGCGTACATCGGTGGCATGTTTGGAGCGGGAATTTACTTCGCTGAAAACTCCTCTAAAAGTAATCAATATGTGTATGGAATAGGCGGTGGACAGGGATGTCCACAACACAAAGACAGGTCGTGCTACTCGTGCGAAAGGTTAGTGTGTATATGGATAGGTTTGAAGTGAATCTTGGGAAGTCCCTAACTGTTGTCACATTTCAGATACTTTGAGAGTATAACTATTATYTATTGACGGTTTTTTTCTTCATTCATGTTGTAATTAAGCTGGCAGGTCTAAACTGGGACTATGGTTCACTAAACGATAATGKTGTCAGTGTTATGCCTTATCACATGAAACCCAAAATCACGAGTATTCGATCGACACAGCTTTCTCTATTTTTTATATAAGAATAGCTTTATACTCTTTATGTCTGGAACTGACGAGAAATTAGTAGATATATAAAGGGTCGAAATTTTGTAATAGAGAGTGCTAAATTGAAATATTCCCTTCTGAAGTAGAAATGATCGAAATGATTCCTTGGATTCATCGCATGCAATAGGAATTTCCCTTATTGTGTTTTATGTTTTTGTCACCCTCCCCAAAAATGGGTTCAAAATAGTACTACGACCTTTCCAACTAATGCCAGTCACCCCTTACCCTTGTTATTCTGAAAGTTCTAGTTGTCCTTTTTAGTTATTTTTATTTTTAATCATGAACGGAGTAATGCTTGCCGTTCGTCAAGCTTGGCTGTTGGGTGACTCATAGCATACGGTACACCCATGTTCTTCTTACTACGTATAAAGTGCAGGCTACCAGCGCACAGCGAAGTGCCCCCATCCACTACTTCACAAGCTTGGGTTTATTATGATCCTCATCCTGACTCACTTCATTTCAGGCAATTATTACTGTGTAGAGTAGCACTTGGAAAACCCTTCTATCAATTCTCGGCCGTCAAAATGGCGCACTCGCCCCCAGGACATCACTCTGTCATCGGTCGCCCAAGCTCTGGTGGACTATCCTTTGCTGAATATGTAATATATCGTGGAGAGCAGGTAAGCCACGTGGATTGGACACGCCCTATTGAGACACGAGCTGTGAGCCTAGTATTTGCTCAAATTTTTCACTCTATTTACAAATCGAATTAATGATAGCACGTTCGGTACTATTC